TGCTTGATGAGAGGATGCTGGTGATAGTAATTTTTCTCAGACCCAAAATATGTAGTTCTTTTTGAGTAATTTAGAGCAATATGACTACTCCAAATAAATTGAGGTTTTTGTGTTTATGCCTCTGTAGATTCCTAGAAACTAGAGTTCTGTTCCTTCTCATTGGAGAATAAAAGCAGTGTCTTCATGGATGGATGAATTTCTTAGATACAGTTCTTTCCTTATTTCAGAATGAAAGTGTGCAGGTATATGGCACACAGGGTATGGAAGGGGACTTTGGAGTCAGGTGATCTTGGATTTGACTCTAGCTCTGTCGCTGTGCTCTCATTGCCTTTTGGGAAGTCACTTAACCTCTGATTTTGTTTTCTCATCTGTGAAGTGGAGATGCTCATACCTGCTGTGTGAGGTTGCTGGGAGAACTGAACGCGATAATATTTACAAAGTGCTGTAGCCCTTGGCTCCTACAGGGTGCTAAGCACAGCAGTAGTTGAGGAGTTGAGTGAGGTGATGGGTGGCAGGACCTTGGGAGCAGCCTGCCATCGCAGCCGGATTTGTGTTTGCCAGGGAGCCTGGGGCCAGAGTGGGGCTGTAATCTGTCATGGAGTCCAGGAGCCCAAATGCCTGGGCTGGTCCCCAGGCGCCGGGGTCACGAGGGGTCCTGTGTTCTCCATCTGCTGGGCTGACGGGCAGCCAGTAGCTGCTGTTTCAGTCCCAGGATAGTTCTTGTAGCTGGGAAAACACCACGAGTGCCCGTTGGGTGCTCTTTGATCACGTGCGGGTGAGCCCCCAGAAGCCACTTAGGACATCCAGGAAGAGTCTCAGAGCTAGTCTGTCTGAGCCCTGGGGTAGGGATCTCTGGTGTGACTGGGGCAGCAGCTTCTGCCCAGAGTGTGCCCAAGTGGGCAAGGGAGGTGCTGCAAGGTGCATCTCATTCTAGACATCTTATCCTGCGTGTCCCCTGCTAATACACAGTCCACATGCCACCAGACAGCGGAGGGATTCTGAAACCTGAAGGCTTAGAACAAACACATAAAGTCTGACTAGAAGCTTGCATTGTTAGCTGGTAACTTCAGGGGGTGAGGAATTGTGGGCGGGCTTAGAGGTGGCTGCTGCTACCACCATGTACCTTTCTACATCCCCACAACTGGCTGTTTGGGGGAAGGGCTGCAGTTCTGCTGCCTAACTTCTGCCGGTACCTCTCATGACTTGAAATACTTGCCATCCTGGACAGGCAGGCTCAGAAACCAGTCTGTGTGTATCTGATATTTAAATAAACAAACACAAAAAAAGTAACGCCACCAGAAATATTTATTATGCAAATAATTCAGAATAAGGCAAAGACCACTTTAATTAGCTTGCTCTTGGTTCAAGATTTTGGTTTAATGAAATTGATTATTTTGTATTTACATTTTCTTTGTATTTTTAAAAGTACATCTAAAGATAAACAAAGGACCAAAAGAAAGCAAATCACACTATTTTTAGGTCCCTGGTACAACTGATACAAAGATATTTGCTCTGAGACAATCTAATCTTTCTGGAAAGCAAACTAGATGAGTGTAACCAATGCTATAAAATTATTCATAGCTTCTCTTAACACTAGCTGGTCCATTTTAGGACTCTGTCTCAAGAAATATCTTCTCTCCCAGAACACGGGAACTAAAAGTGTGCTTTGTATGGAGAAGTTTTTCTCACTCTTTGTGAATGAAAATTTATAATCAGCTGAAATGTAAGCCTGAGAGGGGCGTGGCCAGGAAGGCTGGTGAGTGACAAGGACTGCAGTGTAGCCCTGGGAAGCCTGGCGCCTGTGCTGCCCTCTGGGGAGAGGGTGTGAGGGGAGTAAAGGGCACTGCCCAGATGGCATGTGCACCCCAGATGGCGTGTGCACCCCGGATGGCATGTGCACCCCGGATGGCGTGTGCACCGTGATTATAACCAAGAGAGTTCTGCACGTGCTCCGTACCCCAGTAGCTTCAGGGTTACTCCAGGAGATCGTTCATCATCTCCCACACCTGGAAACGTAGGTTTCTGACCAACTTCACACCTAGGCCCCTAGTGCCGGAAGGCTGTGTCTTTATCCACTCAGAATTTAGACCAATGTAAACAGGGTCAGTGTTTCTTCACTGACTTATTTTTTTGTTTTCCTCTAAAGTTGCTTGGATTTATATAGAAATAAAACAGTTCTGAAAATAGTACTGGGTTTTTTTTTGGGCTCTCAAATACGTGTTCACGTGCTGTTTAGAAAAACAAGTGGCACGTTGACAGGCTTCCGAGTGGCTCTGCATCTGACATTGTCTCGGCTGAATGTGAATAACCTGGATTTTTTAATTAAAAATTGCAGACTTATTTTTGAGATTCCTGAAGTTCCTCAATTATAAAAGTCCCTAATTCTGGATAGAAGGAGGATTTTATATAAGCTAGGGTTTTAAAATGAGCATTTTTAATTGGTAGAAAATAATGTGTGCATGTGTGTCCAGATATCTTTGTGCTGAAAATTAAATAAAACAGATGAGCTCTCATTGGCAAATGTTCTAATCTAGAGAATTGCAGGAAGGTTGGTTGCGCCATGTGTTTAATACCGACATGTGCATCTGACTGCCCACATGTACACTCAGATACGTGTGCATGTGCATGTATGTATACATACTCTTTCATATCGCTTCTCCTTGTCTGATTTGGCACCTTTCAAAACTAATGCCAAAATAGAACTTTATTTGGCTTTCAGATCGTAGCCTCCAGAAAGATGACATTTACAATTATTCATTTTTTCTGGAGGCAGCAAAATATCCCTGGTAAGAGTCAGGTCAGTTGGAGTGGCTTACTCCCATGAAGACAGAAACCTTCTCGTGGGATTATCTGTTTTTGTGGTCACAGACTGATGGCTGATAGCTGTGTTATTTCTCCCAGCTTTGACATTCATTTTTGAAGAAAAATCCTAGAATAAATAGTGACGTGATTTACCCCACAGGTTTCTTTCTTTCCACCCTAGCCCCACCAGTGGAGGGCTGCGTTGGCCCCCCTAGCTTTCCACTTCTTGGCCCCGGAGCATCAGCTAGTTCCATGGGAAAGGCAAAGATGACGACACGTGTCCTTGCTCTAAGAGGGGAGACCAGGTGTATGTACAGATAAGCACTATAGAAAGGTAAAAATGAAGTGCATCAGCAACACAGCAGTTTGGCGATTGTTCAGACCTCTCTTGGGCAATTGCAGTGGACTCCTTCTTGGTCTGTTAATAAAATAAATGGAAAAATATTTCATACGTGTATAATATTAAGTAGGGAAATAGAGTACCACTTACATAAAAGTCTGAAAAACACTAATCCTTCCCTCCAGTCACACCTGGGGTTTAGACCCCACTATCTCATTTTGTCCGTTCCAAAAGATGTCTGACACATGGTCCTGACTGCACGCAGCTATCAGTCTCTCTAGCACAACTTGGATTCATCCCTGTTTTAGACCCTTTCAGCTGTGGGACAAAATCCTCACTCCTCTGTGTACCGTTCAGGCCTTTGGGATCTGGCACTGCAGCCCATCTGTCACTGGCTGCCACCAGTTGCAATGTGTCCCTACCACCAGCCACACTGTACCATACGTTGCTTTTGCATTTGGAACTTGAGCAAAATCTAGCTTAAGTCAGGTGTGCCTTCTGGGACTGTATTACTTTCATTATTTAAGGAGTCTAAGAACTGTAGTGAAGAATGCTTTGTAAATCAGCTTTACATACAGTTTTCAAAATGTTCATCTATACAAACACATAAAAATGTATTTGTTATTCAGCATTCATTGAAGTGTTTATTGTATGTTCTGTTATGTCCCTTGTATGGAAGGACCAAGCAAAGTCTTACTAGCCTTCTCTAGGAAGGATTTCTAGAGAGGACACATGTATTAGTTCAATATTGCTGTGTAAGCAATTACTTCCAAATTTTAGCAGCTTAAAACAACAAATGCTTATTATTTTATGTATTTTCTGAGGATCAGGAATCCAGGTACAACTTAGCTGGGTGATTCTGGCTCTGAGGCTCTCAGGAGGCTGCAGACTGTCAGCTGGAGCTGTGGTCCTCTGAGGCTTGACTGGGCAGGCCTTGCTTCTGAGCTCACTCACACTCAGTTCCTCTTGGCTGCTGGCGTGAGGTCAGTGACTCACCGCAGGGACCATGTTGGCTGTCTGAGTGTCCTCACAACATGGCAGCTCTCTTCCCCAGAATGAGAGATTCGAGAAAGGGAACCCAAGACAGAATGTCATATTGTTACTTCTGCCATATCCTAGTGGGCACACAGATCAACCCTGGTACTGCATGGGAGGGGACTACACCAGGATAAGTCTTGGAGGCCAGCTGCCACGCCTGTTCCCAGTGGGATTTTCAAGGAAATAATGGCTATGAATTAGAATAAAGTCATTACAGAGGGAATCTGAGATTTAAAGAGCACAATTGTACTGAACTTCTCTTTTCTTTTAACCAAGACTCCTTTCCTTTTAATTTTCACTTCTTTATACCAACTCCTATAGACCACATCATGAAATACACAAGCATCTGCCTGTACCAGATATCTCCTCCTTGGTAGACAGGAAATCCCATAGGACTTAAAATTTTTTAAAAAAAGAGGCCAGTGTTATTAATAAGGGCTTCCAGGCTTGCTGTCTCATTTCTTTTAAACCTGAGGTGTTTGGATGTATTTATATACACTTATTTTCTGAGTGTATATAAATATAAAGCTTGGTAATATTGGAATCATTCTGGAGGAATAAAAATTGCGAGAAAAACTTGGTGAGTCAGGGAATTGAGTTTTCTGGGTGCTGCAATCTCCAAGGGAGCCCTTCTAGATTAGTTCTCCAATTACTTGCTCCGCTTGGACCGTGAGAACTGTCTCCTGACTTCCAAAGTGTAGCTGATTCAGCCTGGTGTGACTGGTATGACTGTTGGTTTGTGAATGATTGGGGGTGGGGTCCATGGGCCCTCTGATTAATGTGACTTTGGTGTCCCATCCAGTGTCTTTGTCATCCTCAGGCAGGTTCCAGCGGTAGTCCCGGGCAGAGAGTGTGTGTCATCGATGAGATTGGGAAAATGGAGCTCTTCAGTCAGCCTTTCATCCAGGCTGTTCGTCAGACACTGTCCACCCCTGGGACTGTAATTCTTGGCACAATCCCAGTCCCTAAAGGAAAACCACTGGCCCTTGTGGAAGAAATAAGAAACAGAAGTGACGTGAAGGTGTTTAATGTGAGTACAGCCAGCCCTCCACACCTGTGGAAATGGAGCAGACGATATGAAACAGCAGACAGCTCCAAAATATATCTTTGGCTTTGGATTACCATTTTTCCCCTCCCATGCTGGAATACAGGTGAATCTAATTTTATAGAAATTCATAGAACTTAAGCTATACCTCTACTTGATGAAAAGACAAACTCACTTATAGGGGAGCCACCAGCAACCTCAGCTGTTCTGGCTGCTTTCTGCTTCCCTGTCTCCCGCCAGACGCCGGGGCCTCTCTGGCTTCAGAACTGCTTGATCTAAGGTGCTTGTTCTAAGCATATCTCTTCAGGTTGGGCTGTAGAAGCAAATACGTACAGTTTTGTTTTAAAGATTTCCTTTTTAAACTGACCCACTTCTGCTTGTGGGGAAAGGCGGCTGGGGCCCCAGTTGGAAGTCTGGCTTCCAGAGCCTGCAGAGCAGCACTGGCTGGTCGCGCTTCCCACAGGGGTGGAAATGTGCTGTCTGTATTGTTCAGTACAGTGGCCATAGCCACGTGTGGCTATTTATGTTTAATCAAATAAAATTGAAAATTTAGTTTCTTAGTCATACTAGCTACATTTCAGGCGCTCAGTAGCCACGTGTGGCTGCTGTGTTAGATGGCATAGCTGTAGAGTCTGCTACTCAATGTGAAGTTTGCAGACCGGCAGCACGGGCAGCTGACGTGTAAGGAATCCAACTCTCTGGGGGATGGGCCCCATGACCTCTGTTTAAGCAAGCTCTTGGGGGGTTCTTAGGCCCTATGCAGTTTGAGAAACACTGCTATAAACCACATGCAAGAGATGAGGGTTTGGAGCATGTTAATCAGTGGCAGTGTCTGAGACACTTACAAGGACTCTTGTGGCATTTGCTGGCACTTTGCCTAAATCCTTGTCTTCCTCTCACCACTGTCTCTTTGTTTCCTTCTCAGTCGTGTATTGTCTTTCCCACTCCATCTTACTTTGTCTCTCAGTGATAGCCATGCTTTTGGCTGAGCTCTGTTCCTACCCCTCACTCCTACCCCTCAGTTTAAAAGATCCCTGGCCTTGTAAGTGACAAGTAAACAAGTCAAGCAGGCAGGGCCACTCTTGTCAGAGAGAGTAGAGAGCGAGTACCCATGAGCATCTTACATCACTGATCATTTTAGTCACTGACTAAAATGTCACCATGGCCCACTGGCCCTAATAGGAAATCCACATGTTGCCACCAAAGTATCCTGGGTTGTGGCAACAAACAACCATTAGGGTTAGGCCAGCCAGACTTGGAAAAATTTGTGCATTCTTTTGTTTATTTATTCATTCAGTCTTCTGTAAATACTGATTGAACATCTGTGTGCTAGGCATCATTCTAAGTCTTGGGGATATTATGGTAAATAAAACTGACCAGATTCTTGCCCTCATGGAGCTTGCATTCTAGTGGAAGAGCTGGATACCAAAAATGTCAGCGGACAAATTAAACAATTTCAGATATTGATAAAGGCAAAGAAAAGAAACCAGGGCAATGTGGTAGTTAGGGGCAGGAATAGAGGGAGGGATTAAGGAAGGGTCTCTCCAAAGAAGTGACATTTCAGCTGAGACCTAAGAGCCCTGAAAGGTCAATCTTCAGTGACATCCTTGAAAAGTCCGTGGAGCTCTCATTTTTAGAGTTTTGTGTTGCCCTCTCTGACTCTTGCTTTACATGGCTTCCACATTAGAATTTTTGGTTGTAATTATAGAGGTTCTGTGGAAATTGAGGCAATGAATGGTGAAAGATCATGAAGGAAAATGAGTTTTCAGATCAGGTAGCTTCCAGGCTGGAAGACTGGGTAGTTGTTGGTGTTAAACTCCAGGGGTTGGCTATCTCTGCACGCTAATCTAATCTAACAGTCTTAAACAGGGATTGAGAGGAGTTAACTGTTATGTCCGGAAATAAACATATCTTAAGTTAATACCACATTTCCTCCTCTAAGACTGGAAATTATTCTCCAGGCAAGAGCAATCATTGCTCCTAATGATCTGTAAATAAAGTGATTAGCTTTGAGTTAATTATGTAAGAGATAGAGGCTGACATATGCTGTTATTTTTGTGCTGCTTTGGGATTTGTGTGGTCCTTTGTTCCTGTTTTATAAACGAAGAACTTCATTTTCTTCATCTGCAAACTTAAGGGTTGGATTAGATGTAGTCTTGGAGTAAGGAGAGATGTCCAAAGGAAGCGGTTCTTGGGTAGGTTTTTGAAGGAGGAAATGGGGAAAAAAAGGAAGAGTATTCCAGGTAAGGATATAAGTTATGTAAAGGGCTGGGGAACAGCTTTCTCTTGCTACCAGGTGAGGATGCATAGTGCAAAGATGGGACTGAGCTCATGATACGGGGGAAGGAAGTGTACCACACAATGTTTTGTTTTCACAGTGTTTGGTGTACAGAGTATTACTTTAAAAAAAAAAAAACACCTGAGAACACTTCCAATTCTAGACAAGATGGAATAGACATACTTCTCCCTATTTTTCCTACTAATTGCAGCCCCTAAACCTTGGATGTTACATATAAAACAAGCATAAAAAGACCTGAAAGGTGATGAGAAAGAGGCAGACTAGCTAGGAACCTCAGGACCCAAGGAATAACACCACAGACACAGTTGAAAATCACTTGTTGTGCCGGGAACCAGGAATATCTAAATTTGAATAAGAAAAGACAGTCAGCATATCTCAACAGCAAGATGATGCAGATGTTGGACTTACAGGGCAAGTATTTTAAAACAGCTATCATTAAAATTCTTCAGTGATCAGTGATAAACACGCTCGAAATAAATGAACAATAGAAAGTCTCAGCAAAGAAATGGAAAGTTTCAGCAAAAATACAGAAGACTCAAATGAAAACTTTAGGATTATAAAATATAATAGCCAAATCAAAAAGGTACTA